GCAAAAGAGGAAATCACGTGACCCTGGGACACGGCGGACCGTCATAAATACGAGTCAGTGATCAAGGATCTGGATTTTGATCACGTGACCAAGGAGTTTCTACAAAAAGTGTGAAAAAAAATGGTCATAAGTCACTTTTTTCAGTGCTGTTGAAACTTTGAACAGTCACTAAATGAATTGTTGTAAGTTGAGGACTATCTGTATCATAAAAATTTTTTTTAAAACATCTTAAAACAAGAACATATTTAAAAAACAAACTAAAATGTAAACTAAGGTGTGAGTATCTCAGAACCTGGCTGATCATTGAAGGCTTGGAAGCTACACAAACAGGGGTCACTTCAGGACATGGGAAAATTAAGGTCAGTGGCCTCACTGGTTCACTGCCCTTTATTGCTTTTTAAAGGCCTGGAGGCAAAGGGCAAGGCAGGGTGGGCTCCCTGGCATTTGAGGGGCTGCCACAGGGAGGAGGAAGGGGGTCAAGCTACTTTCCAAGGCACCTGAAGGCCAGACAAGGAACAGTGGATGGAAACTTAACAAGGAGAGATTCAACCTGGAAATAAGGAGAAACTTTCTGACAGGGAGAACAATCAACTCATGGAACAGAAGTTGCCTTTGGAAGTTGTGGGAGTTTCATTACTTTCAAGTAGAGACTGGACAGCCATCGGTCGGAAATGGTGTAGGGTCTCTTGCTTGGGTATGGGGGGGTTGGACTAGATGACCTACAAGGTCCCTATTCTGTTATTATTCTGTTATTCAGAAGATGTGGGAGCATCATCACTAGAAGCTTTCAAGAAGAGATTGGACTCTCATTTGTCAGAAATGGTGTAGGGTCTCCCGCTTTGGCGGAGGGTTGGACTAGATGACCTATAAGGTCCCTTCCAACTCCGTCAATCTGTATTTAAAGTCACAGCATCTCCTCTCCTCTAACCCAGGGCTGGGGGCTGCCCCACTCACCTGCGAGGTAGAACAGAATGACAGAGACCTCCTGGTAGGAAGCCAATTGGCAATCCTAAGGCAACCCTCAGGGGGTTAAAATTAACTTTCCCCTTTTAAATAACATCATCATCATCATCAGCCTTAGCCACAAATTGCATGAGGGCAAAGATTCAGCATGTCACCACCAACAGCAAATGCCGCCTCTGTAAGGAGAAAGATGAAACAGTTGACCATTTAATCAGTGGATGCAGCCAAATTTCACAAACTGACTACCTAGAATGCCATAACCATTCACTGGAAACTGTGCCAAAAGTTTGAATTTGAGTCTAGTAACAACTACTGGGAACATCAGGTTGAGCAGGTTCTGGAGAATGAAAAAGTCAAGATCTTGTGGGACTTCAGAATTTAGACGGACAGGCACTTGGCCCACAACACGCCTGACATAACAATAGTTGAGAAGAAAAAGGGTTTGGTTCATTGACATTGCAATATCTGGGGATGCATGAATTGTAGACATGCAGCAAGAAAAAAAAATGACAAAATATCGGGAGTTACAAATTGAAGTTGAGCTACTTTGGAAAAAGAAATCGTGTGTTATTGTACCAATTGTAATTGGTGCCCTTGGAGCCATATCTAAAGGGATACCTCGCTATTTGGAAATTCTGAATTTATCAGACTTGAATACCCTGATTCTACAAAAAAACCCACCCTACTTAGAACAGCTGATATCCTCCGATGCTACCTGAACCCGTTCCTAGATCCTTGGTTAGGACTTGAGCTGTTGAGCTACTAACCAGCCCCAAAGGCTGTGAATCTCACCAAAGATTTAATAATAATAATAATAATAATAATAATAATAATAATAATAATAATAATAATAATAATA